TATCTTGATCTCTCCTTCATATTTGATGGATAATTTTGCTGGGTACAGTATTCTTGGTTGACAGTTGTGTTCTTTGAGTGTTTGATATATGTCCTCCCACTCTCTTCTTGCCTGCATGGTTTCTGCTGAGAAATTGGCACTTAATCTTATCTGTTCTCCCTTATAGGTTACTCTTTGTTTCTCCCTTGCTGTTTTCAGGATACTCTCCTTAGCTTTGGTTCTGGAAAATTTAACTATGATATGTCTTGATGTTTTTCTTTTGGGGTCTAATCTATATGGTGTTTGCTGAGCTTCCTGAATACATATTCTCTCATTCTTTGTTATGCCTGGGAAGTTTTCCTCTAGTAATTCTTCCACAATTTTTTGAGTGCCTTTACTTGCTTCTTCCTTTTCTGGGATTCCAATGATTCGCTTGTTATTTTTCTGGATGGTGTCCCACATTATTCTTAGGTTTTCTTCTTTTTCCTTGTTTTTTCCTCTAGCAGATCAGTGGCAACAATTTTGTCTTCAATTTCACTGATTCTGTGTTCCATCTCATCAACTCTGCTCATATGTCCCTCCATCATGTTGACAGCCTCTGAAACATTGGACCTTATATTTTGAATGGTGGATCGTTGTTTTTCCATTGCTGCTAATGCCTCATTTGTTTTCTTTGCAATGTTTTGCATTGTGTTTTTGAGCTTCTCCTGGTCTTTGCTTGTAGTATCCTGTAATTCATCAAGTTTGTCTTTCATCCATTGGATATATTCAGTCACTCCTCTTTTAAATTCTGTGTCAGAAATTTCCATGAGCCTTTCTTGCTTCAGGGAATCCACTGATATTGTGTCGCCCTTTGTGATTGACATCTTGCTTTGCTCTTGTGTATTGTGTGGGATAGTTTGCTTTCTTCGAGACATTGATATGTTCTTGATCTGAAGACAATGCTCTTGAGATCAGCTGGGCAGCTACCGAACTTGTGTGTTTCTCTGAATTTCTGACTTCAGAGAAATGTCAGTTCAGAGCCTGCTAGGGCAATCTCTTATTGGTAAGGCAGGTCAAGGTGCTCCCGATTAAAGGCAAGTTGATTGCCCAGATGTGTAGGCACTCATGTGGAGCCAACTGGGGTGAGGCAGGCAAAAGGTTGGGGTGTTCACAATGGCAGGTCAAACACTTGGGGGACCTTGCTCAAAGCTCTGCTGTCTCAGTGTGCTCACAATTGGCGTCCCTACTCAAATTCCTGCTGTCTGTTTGCTACCCAATGGTTTTCTTAGTGTTCCCTGCCTAGTGGCACCTATGAAGGTGCCCTCACACAACAGCCCCTGCTCCAGCAGAGTCTTGGATCCGACAGGATCTGAAAAGTCAAGTCAAATTCCCACCGGCCCGCTAGCCTCTGGCTGGTCTGCAGACTCCACAGAAGCCAGCTGGCTGGCTTGTTTTGGGCAGTTGGTATAGCCCAAGAGAGCTCAGCCAAATTCCCCACCAGTGGGTATGCCCTTAGTTGCTCTTCCAGGTAATCAGCAATGCCCCAGTAAACCCAGCCAGGATCCTACCGGCCTTTCTCCTGCCAGATTAGTTCCACAGCCGCTTGGCTGATAGCTCCGGGTGATGGCTGGATCCTTGGTGGTGCCCTGAGGTCACAGGGCTGTGGCAGAGGCTGAGGTGCATGGTTGTGGAGCTGCAAGGGGGGTGGGGGAATTGGGAGGAGCAAGGGACGGGGGGGGGGCAAAGGAGCACAGGGCTTGGACACTACCACCAAGAGGTAGGGGGCGGGGCTTGGGCGCTGCTCGGGGTTTATGCAGCAGCACCCTGTGTGTTGGGGTCACGCAGGCGCGGGCTGCAGGGGGGGTCACACAGTGGTGGGTAGTCGTAGCTCCTATGGGGTCACACGTGCTCCCTCTGAAGTTCTGTGGTGGCTGGCAGACTGTTGGCTCTTCCCGGGTCTCTTCGCGGCTACAACAACAATCTTAATTGCATGTCTGATTGATTTTTTGACTGCAAAAGTTGGTAGAAATCTTCTATTTCCTCCTTTTTTGGCTCTAGTTGTTGGTGCATATATTTGAATGATAGTGGTACTTATTGGACTTCCTTTTATGCATGTGGATATTATCTTGTCACTCACAACATTTTATTTCAAGATGGATTTAGAAATGACTTTTTGACTATGAAAGCAACCCCATTTTTCCTCACCTTTTCATCTTCAGCATTTGAGATCATATGATTGTCTACTTACTATAATTGGAATCAAACGAACACATAAGTAGATTTATGAATTCAAGGAGGCAGTGAAGGGGCAGAGATCCCCCAAAAGGAAGGAAATAGTAGAAACAAGGAAAATTTAGAAAATGAGCTATATCCTCTATCACAAGTCTATGTGGTATAAGTGAAGAAAAGAGAATGGATATTGAGGTTGTTTTAAACATGTGGATTAGCTAGCAAGAAAGGATGAATGTTGTTTACCATAGAGTCGGAACCGACCCATAGCTGACCTTCTGGTGGGTTTTCAGAGGTAATTAATCCCATAGGAGGAGATTGTCCATCCTTCTCCCACAGAGCAGCTCGTGGATTTGAACCATATACCTTCAAGATTGCAGGTCAGTTTCAAGGCCACCCTAGTGGTAAGCATAAAGTGCTCTCTAGCATGAATAGCATATCCAAATAAAATGTCATTTTATCTTTTATCAATTAAATGCAATTGAGGATATGGAGCATGTAGTAGAAAGCATTACTATTTTTATGGATACAATTATTAATTATCAAGTGACATTTGTATATAGTTGACTATTAAATGACATTTCTAATAGGAAAGAAATTTTTTAATTAAAGAGTGTTAACTATTTTGACTATAATATTCAAATGGGTTGTTATCAATGATAGTTTTGTTTTCTGATACCAATGAAGTTTCATTGAGAGTGGAGAAGATAAAATAAAGGTTGGTTAAATTATCAGAGGTAACTCTTCCCTAAGTAGTTTCACAATATTACACTCAGAAAGATTATTGCGAAGTTGGTCATAAATTTGGCATTGTTTTCTGACTTTATGACAAAAGAAGATTTAAAATTGAGAAGTATGATTCCAAAAATTCATGAGTAAGGAAGGATTTTACTGCTTATGTGTCATCTTGTGGGAGAGGCCTCTGAGTGGACTCACTAAGATCAGATTTGCTGGTGAGTCATCTTCTGACAGTCCTCTGGTTCTGAACGACTAAATCATGTTAACTTGTAGTTACAAACCAACTCTGCTCTCCCCAACCCAAGCCTATTAAGAACTTTTAATATAGTTATGTAACAGGAAATATTTAATTTTTTTCCAAATAGAAAGGGATAGTATATATTCTAAACACAGATAAACATTTGACTAATTAATGCTTTCTATGAACCATATCTTGGAAGGAGGAGTGGCATCCACTTCTGCAATACTTGTCTCCAGAAACTCTATGAACTTGGAGAGAGGATGAAAGGCACTCAAGCATCAAGGACTCTTTTTCATAGGGTTACTATGAGTCGCCTGTGACTCGATGGCACTTAACAACAACAACAACAGTAATGAACCATAATGAACCATATCAGAACACTTGATTGTGCTTATGTGAAACCTATGCTTGGACCAGGAGGTCCAGAAGAAAGCAAGGAAACACTACATGGTTCAAAATCAGGAAAGGTGTCCGCCAGGGATGCATCCTATCTCCATACCTTTTCAGTTTATATGCAAAACAGATCATCTGGGAGGCTGGGCTTTATAAGGAGGAATGTGACATCAGGATTAGAGGAAGACTCATTAACTATATGCATTAAGACACAACCTTGTCTGTTGAAACTGAGGAAGGCCTGAGGCATTTGCTCCAGAAGGCCAAGGACTGCAGCCTTCAATATGGATTGAAGCTCAACATCAAGAAAACAAGGATTCTCACCACTGGGCCAACAGCATCATGATAGATGGTGAAGAAATTGAGATTGTTAACAGCTTCAGTTTGCTTGGCTCTACAATCAACACTCTTAGTACCAGGAGCCAGAAAATCAAAAGACAAATTGCATTGGGAAAATCTGCTGTCAGGGGGACCTCTCCAGAGTACTGAAGAGCAACGATGCCAGTCTAGAGACTAAGGTACACTTGATCCAGGCCATGGTCTTTGTACTTACTGTGTATCAGAAAGCTGGACAATGATTAATAATGATAGAAGAATTGATGCCTTTGAATTGTGGTGCTGGAGAAGAGAATTGAATATGCTACAGACTGCTAGAACAAACAAGTTCAGCCTTGAGAAAGTAAAACCAGGCTGCTCCTTGGAGGCAAGGATTTTGAAGCTTTGTCTGACATACTTTGGGCACGTTGCCAAGAGGAACCAGTCCTTGTAGAGGGACGTCATGCTTGGGGGGTACAGGGACAGTACAAGAGAGGAAGACCCTGGATGAGATGGACTAATTCAGTGATTGGGGTAATGGGAGAAGGTGTATCAGTGACAATGAGGTTGGGTCCAGATAGAAACGAGTTCAGAGCTGTTATACATAGGATCTCTATGAGCTGCAGGCACAAAACAACAACAACAACATGAAACATACCTAATGTGTATATCTAATTTATGTATAAATTAGATATGAAGATTTAAGAATGTAACTTATTCATAAGTCACAAGATCACGATCTTTCCACATCTGAATTCCCTCTTGTGAAATGAGTTAGTATCGTGTACTTAGAGTTTAAATATAAGACTGTAACACTAGTTAGATAGTGGGGAAAAAACCCTTCCTACTCTCCTTTTTTTTTTAAACCACGACAGGAAGCTGTGAGAACATTTAAAAAGGCACTGGATATCTTTGCTCGCTCTGATAAAGGATCAAACGCTATACTGGCTTCAGCAGACTGTTTGTATCACCTGGGACTTTGCTACATGGAAGAAGGCAGTTTACAAATGGTATTTTGTATGTCTAGTTGCAAAAGCAATGTGTGATTTGAGAGATGATTTCTGGAATTCGATATGGTTCTGAATACTATATATACAATGACTAATAAAAATTTTCTTTTCAGGTTAGCAGGGCTGTGTAACACTGACATGTTGCAGGCAGGCAGCACTCTGCAATTTCTAGAACCTGGTTTCAATTAATCAACATCTTCATGTGTTACTGTGATGCTTGTTTATCTATTAATAAATATTAGACAAATATTAATCTGAGTTTCTTATGTGAAGAATAAACCTAACTGTAAGAAACATTATAGTAAAATATTTTCAACACATTACTATGAATTTATTTATTAAATTTATAAGTACTTTAAATTGAGTGCTTCAAAGTAATATAAAATAAATGGAAAATTGAATAGCAATTCAAATCTGCTGGAAACTACTTATGATCACTGGTTTCATTAATAACCACTTGATTAAATTATAATGCATTTACCAAGCCTTTGGACATTTTGTATAATTTCTTAGTTTAAAACTGTCAATATTATGGTAACTATGTTAAATAATTGACATTGTCTAATGGCAAATACTGGATATGTCACAATTTCATCTTTACACACACATACACATACCATTTCAACTCTTGTACATAAGACAATGCCTTGAAAAACCTTGAAAAATCTATAGTTACTTTTTCCACTAAATCCAGTAAATATAAGAAGAATTATAAATACAGTCAATGTTTTAGTCCTTTTTACCACCAAGCCAAATCCAGCTTGGCTTTATTATGTTGGGAATAATTTTGCAATTCCATTTTTTTCTGGAATTTTCCAACTATAGGTTCATTATAGGACTCTCATGGATAAGAAATTTATTTGTTGTAACTTTTTTGAATAAAGATGGTCTAAAGAATAATCGTCAAAGTTCCCCAAAATATTATAATTTTATAACATGGATTTAGTCTGGCAATAAAGGGCCAGCAAATTATACCAATTTGTTAATAAATATTCTTTTTGTTTGCACTACAAGATCAGTGGAAGAAATGCCTTGAAAATTACCAAGCAATGGAATGAAAGTTTTCAAAAACAGCTATATACTTTAATAACATTAAAAAATAATGTATTCTATTCTCTAAATGATTTGCTTTCTAATGATCTGCTCTTCAAGGCTTTAGATTCTTTTACAAAAGCTATCAATGCAAATCCTGAATTTGCAGAAGGATTTTACCAACGAGGGCTTTGTAGAGTAAAACTTGGCAAGGATAACTCGATCCTGGATTTTAATTGTACACTTACCCTGAATCCGAAGCATTATCAGGTATTTAAATGAACAATTTCAGTGAAATACAGAATGTGTTAACTTGGCTAAAATGACTTCAATATATGTTATTATTATTCTCAAACTCATTGCTATGGAATCAGAACCCACACGTAGCTGACCCATGTTTTCCCCATGACTGTTGTTAGGTTTGAACTGCTTACAGAGCACTTTTTGAACTGTGACCTTTGGGTTAGCAGCCAAACTACCAATAGACTGAATTGGTTACTTTTACATACTTTTCCTCCAACTGTATTTTCATAATTCAGTTATCTGTATTAAATGACTTTGGTCTAAATGTCTTTCTTCCCTCCCCTTTACCTATTTTTTTTAATTGATTGCATACTAAGTTCGTATACATTGTGTTTCACACTGTTCTTTAGTCACACAGTGTTTCATACAGTCATTCTCATGCATTATGTTTTATAAAATTAATCACATTGGACCTTGACAATCATTGCCCTGTCTTTTCGCTCAGGTCCTTCACATTTACTTCCCTCCACGCCCACCATCATGTGTAACCCTGTGGTTTCACCCTTACCCATCCTCGGCCCTCTCCCCCTTGAGTTCTCATACATGTTTTACTAGCTATCCTTCTATTGTTACAATAATGGTCTTATGCAGTATTTGTCCTTGTGAGACTAAATTCACTCAGCCTAATGCTCTCCAGTCTTTCCTAAAAACACAGAATTTTTTAAAATAATTTTTTCTGAATGCTGGGTAGTATTCCATTGTGTGAATGTAGGGCATTTTCTCAATCTATTCAGTTTTGGTTGGACATTTGGGCTGTTTTCATGTTCTTGCAATGGTTAATAATGCTGCTGTGAACATTGGTGTACAAATCTCAGTTTGTGTCTCACTTCTTATTTCCTCGGGGTATATTTCTAGTAATGGAATAGCTGGGTCACATGGAATTTCTATGTTCAACTTCTTGAAGAAATGTAAATGGCTTATTTTCAACAGGCAATCTAGATATTTGCAAATTATATAAAAGTAGTTTGTGAACTGTGTGTGTGTATATATATAGTATTTAATGAAGCTTAATTAGAATTTTTATACCATTAATTTTATTTACTTAAGATCACTTTTTTTTTAGTCAAGGAATATTAGAAACAAAAATTCAATAGATAAAGTTTGATTGTACCCTGATGTTAGATGGATCTTAGCTGAAAGCAGGGAATACCAGAAGAATGTATATCTGTGTTTCATTGACTATGCAAAGGCATTTGTCTCTGTGGATCATAACAAACTGTGGCTGACTCTGAGAAGAATGGGAATCCCAGAACACGTGATCGTGCTAATGCAAAACCTA